ATTTTGCAACCAGACCAGTACCAAAACCTTTTTGACTTGATCCTCTGTCGCGTCACGTGACGTGTACGTCAGCACCCCCTCTCTTTCTCTCTCTCTCTCCTGTCGTATCGTCCTATTGCTCCTCTCATATGACAAAAGAACAGACACAGAAAAAGATTTTAGTAGTTAATGCAATACTGAGTTATCTCAACCATATTCAATATTCCCCCACTCACATTCGCTTTAAGACTTAACTCAGGACTAAATAGATCGCTCAAAAACATTTTTATTTAATTTTATTTATTTTAATCGTCTTTTAATTTAATTTATTATAATCCGTCAACATATCTAATTTATAAATTCACTACATCTCAACAAATAGTTTCATTTTCAAACAACAGCCGCTTTAAACCTAGAAGATTCGTGTTAAAATCTCTCCTCTTTGTTCCCTCGTCTGTGTTTCTCTGTCTCCCCCTGCAGCACAGCCCCACAGAAATATGACACTTTACCCACAATCCCCCTGTTGTAGTTTTAGTACCCACCGTGTTGTAGTTTAGTACCGGAACCCAACGTCTCCTAATCTCGTGCCATAAACTCCAACTCCCACGTTTTGTAGTGTAGTGTCGTAAAATTAAACGCATGCGCAAATACATTCAACTATACGATTCCCAGACAACAGAACGCTAGCATTCCGCTACAACCTCACTATTTTATACCTTATAATCGAACAATTACACTTAACAGAGCTCACATTTGCGTAGAACTCTGAATTCTACACACACAAACAAGTTTAAGAGGGTTATTCCATCGCAATGGGACCCTTAAGGACACCCGTTAGCATGTAGCACGCAACACAATTAGCATTTAGCCTTAGCATTTAGCATTAGCCGCTATGTACAATGTGGCATGAAACCCAACCAGCATTTAGCATCAGCATTAGCCTTAGCCTTTAGCTAACTGTGGCCTACCCCACGCAACAAGTACCCTGCACTGCCCTTTCCTTTTGACTTATTTTCCTACCGTTTTGTGCTACCGTAAGTTTAATGACCATCTACTGAGAAATTACACCCAAGCGGACCCCCCGTCGGACGAAAGTCGAGCCATAATCACAATCAGATAAATTCCATCAACTCGAGTTTTTCTTTAAAACACACCGACTTGCACATTCTAACGCGCAACCGGATTTTCGGCCCATTCTAAATGGCCCCCCTGGGGTCTTACGCGGTACAGTGCCCTAATGTATACGCATATCTGCCTTAATATCTGCCGTTAATATCTGCCTTCAATTGCTGTACAATTTTAGAATAATTATGACAGACTCTTAGTCGACCGCAATAGCACCACATCAGCACAATCCCAAGTAATTTACATGGTACACCTTCACCAGCGCACATTCACAAGCCAGCCAAACAACTAATGCCCAATAATTTGTGAGAATCTCACCTTTTTTAAACCGGCTTGAGCGGTAGTCACCTCGCTGCTTATGAATGAAACAAAGGGAAGTTGCAGGCCCATCTCAGCGGAGCCTCCATTATGTCGTGTCGCGTCGGCTGTTGGTGCTCATTGCTATCAAACAAAGGAGTCCGCTCATACTGAACCTTTGATCATGTTTATTCATATCACAAGCTTTCAGCATGAGTTACAGACTTGCAGGGTCTGGAGAAACAGCGTCCCAAACATAATCTGTCTGTTTCTGCCCCCTCTTTGTCTAGCTCATACTTATAAACAATGGCAAAAATGGGGTGCTCCCTTTTTCGTCCAATCACCTATCCCCCCTGGGGCGTCACCCTACAACTGCTACATTTGAACTAAGATAAACATATTTTCTTTGTCCCTCTAGACTAGTCATAATCTTCATACACGACAATAGTTTGTTTACAAGAAATGTGTGGAATGGTTGAAAAACGAGTTTTAATGACTCCAACCTAAGTGTATGTAAACTTCCGACTTCAACTGTAGTTAGCTAGCTAGCTGCTTTGTAAAAAAAAAAAAAAGCCTAGTGTTCATGGCACATTGTATATCTAACTGCTACTAGGATAGTATTCTGTACAAGACACAAGACCAAATGCATAAATTAGACAAATATTAGTTAAAATATGGAACAGTACATGAAAATGTTAAATATATCTTTCATTCTGAATCAAGGTAGCTAGCAGCTAGCTAGCTGACAGCAACAGTGTCAGCTAGAGATGAAGTGCCGGAGCTTGCTGGGATTTTTAGTCTTGCATGAGGTCTACTTTGATGCTAATTAGCATATATGAATCAAATCAAATCAAATTGTATTTGCCACATGCGCCGAATACAACAGGTGTAGACATTACAGTGAAATTTGGTTGTCCCACTGGCTATCATAAGGTGAATGCACCAATTTGTAAGTCGCTCTGGATAAGAGCGTCTGCTAAATTACGAAAATGTCAATGTAAATGCTTACTTACAAGACCTTAACCAACAAGGCATTTTTTCTTATTTTATTTTTAAAGAATAAAAGCAAATAACTAAAGAGCAGCAGTAAAATAACAGTAGGGAGGCTATATACAGGGGGGTACCGGTGCAGAGTCAATGTGCGGGGGCACCGGCTAGTCGAGGTAATTGAGGTAATATGTACATGTGGGTAGAGTTAAAGTGACTATGCATAAATAATAAACAGGGTAGCAGCAGCGTAAAAGAGGGGAATGGGGTGGGGGGGCAGTGCAAATAGTCCGGGTAGCCATGATTAGCTGTTCAGGAGTCTTATGGCTTGGGGGTAGAAGCTGTTGAGAAGCCTTTTGGACCTAGACTTGGCGCTCTGGTACCGCTTTCCGTGCGGTAGCAGAGAGAACAGTCTATGACTAGGGTGGCTGGAGTCTTTGACAATTTTGAGGGCCTTCCTCTGACACCGCCTGGTATAGAGGTCCTGGATGGCAGGAAGCAGAGTAAATAGAGCCGAATATATTGATAAAAGTCACTTTGTCCGAGAGAGATTTACACCGTTATCAAAACATCACTCCAGGGAAAGCCTTCATGAAACACAGACCTTGTTTGAAGTGGTTCTAAATGATTGGAACCATTTCCGTGTTTGACCGCTAGGTTTTATGGGTATTAGGATGTGTTCACTGTGGGGCTCTTGCCGCGTTCAAAACAACTGGGAACTCTGAAAATACGAGGTCAAATCATGACGTCAGTGATCTTCAGGTCGGAACTATAGAAAGAGGCCCAAGTTCCCAAGTTGGAATTCCGAGTTGGATGACCGCAAAAAAAAAAAGATCCCAGTCGGAGTTCCCAGTTGTTTTCAACGTGGCATCTATAGTGTCTGTGACAGCATGAGCAGCCATTGAAGCTATCTCCATTTTCAAGTAGTCAATTTTCTTCTTCACGATTGGCTGATCCCTCCTGATGATCCGGTTGGAAATGACTCCAACAGGGTCACCAGGAGGGATCAGCCAATAAAGTTGGAAGTCCCACCCAGTTGACTACATTACAATGGTGGAAGCCCTCAATGGCCTTGCCCATGCTAAAACGGCCTTCTTGGCCACTAGAGGCCTCTATCATTCTCTATGGTCCTTCTCCACTTGCACATCATTAGGCAAATTACATTTACAGGGGTGGAATCCTAAAATAAATGTGTAAAGTAATAAAATCGAATTTTACTAGTTGTGCAATACATTTGATAGTAAAAGGATAAGTAGTAAATGTTCATTTTTAAGAGTTTGCATTATTTTCTCCTTTGAGAAAAAACTACTGATTCAAAAGGGGTGTGGCGGGTATTAAAGACACAATGCAGCCATTTTTATCTCAATATCAAATCATTTCTGGTTATCAAGTACCTAACTGTTATGTTTTACAATTAAAATGGTCAAAAAAAGACAAAAACTGCTTCTTAGCAAAGAGCAATTTCTCAAGCAAGAATTTTGCTAGGACTGTCTGGTAGGGGTCTGAGAGAGGGGCTTAATTGGACGAGCCTAATGGGAGGGATATGTAACCTGAAAACTAGCTGTTATTGGCAGAGGTTTGAAACTTTTTGTTATTGGTCTATTAACTTATACCACCTGGTGATGTCGCCAGGCAGGCCAAAACTCCATCCCCAAAACTCAATATTTTCAAACAGCCATTACACTAAAATGCAATTTTCATTTTCACAGTATTATTCTAACCTCATAGTGTGGAAATATACAGAGTTTACAAAACATTATGAACACCTGCTCTTTCCATGACAAACTGACCAGGTGAATGCTATGATCCCTTATGTCACTTGTTAAATCCACTTCAAATCAGTGTAGATGAAGGGGAGGAAACAGGTTAAAGAAGGACTTATAAGCCTTGAGACATGGATTTAAGTGCCTTTGAACTAGGTATGGTAGTAGGTGCCAGGCGCACCGGTTTGTGTCAAGAACTGCAACGCTGCTGGGTTTTTCACACTCAACAGTTTCCCGTGTGTATCAAGAATGGTCCACCACCCAAAGGACATCCAGCCAACTTGATACAAATGTGGGAAGCACTGGAGTCAACATGGGCCAGCGTCCCTGTAGAACGTTCGACACCTTGTAGAGTCCATGCCCCGACAAATTTAGGCTGTTCTGAGGGCAAAAGGGGGGGGGGTGTAACTCAATATTAATGTGTTCCTAATGTTTGGTATACTCAGTGTACATAAAGCACAGGAAAATCACTTCTCCTCGACCACTCACCATTTTTCATTTGATAGATGGCAAATGAAAGAAGATGCAGCAATTTGTATAATAAATTCCTTTAATACACCAATGGCTTGGTTTGATGCCAATACTGAGCGATGAGATACATTCCTTAAATCATCTTCTGCACATAAATGATATTAATCAACTAGAGAAAACATGAATCTCGTTGAGAGAAAATTAGCATAAAAACACACTCAACTACACTTAAAATCATACATGATTATACAAGTTTATTTTGCTAAGAAAGACACAGAGCAAAATGACAGTTATGACAGAATGTGTGTATGTGAGTGGTATGTGTACAGTACAGGGTCAGTATAAATGCATGTGTAGGATATGGGGGGGGGGGGGTTCTCATTTCTTCTTCACTGCTTCGGCTGCAGCTGCTGCCTCGGCTCTCAACCTCGCCTCCTTCTCCTCCAGGAAAGTGTTGTACTCCTCTGCCGATAAACTGAAGGTGGGATGAGAGGGAGGGAGGAAGGTAAGGCGAGACAGGGCGAGAGAGAGAGACAGGGCGAGAGAGAGAGAGAGCGAGAGAGAGGAGAAAATACAAAAATGTGAATAAAATGTCAAAACTATTATATCAGTGGTCCTAACTGAATAATGGTGCATCACAACAGTACCATTTGCCAATCATGAGAATGGCACTTAATTCCAGTCTATCAATCCATACCTGGGAGTACAACAGAGTATGATAATAGATAATGAGTTTACAATAGAGTATGAGTTTCTCAATGCCAAGTATTGTACCAATATTAATGACACTGGGCACTTTGAGACAAGGGTCTTACTCGTTGACGATCTCAATGCCCAACGAGCGAGCCGAGCCGATGATGCTCTTGACGACCGTCTCTAGGGAAGCGTTCTGCATCTTGAAGGCCTCGTCCTGGGCCTTGACCTGAGCCATCTCATACACAGCCCTTACAGACACCATCCCAGCTGTCTCATGGCCTAGAGATGGAGAAAGAGATAAAGTGGGTCCAAAGTGGGAATAAGATAAAGAAACCGAGGGGAGCAGAGGGTGGAAGAAAGAGAAAGGGTAAGGAGCAAAAAGGAGGGCAGAGTGCGGAGGAGAGTGGGGGAAAACGAGGAAATTATTGAAGGGAGGGAGGGAGGAGCCGGCGCAGAAGGAGGAAATCCATAATTCTCTTTCCTTAGCCCACCACCGTTCCCACTACCTTCCTCCTGCCTGTAATTGCCTGGCTCAAGCCCCGTCCCCTGTCGATCATAAATACATAATCAATCAGTCCAATCTCAGCCCCAACGCCCTGTGGGAGACGTTTGTCTGTCCGTCCGGTACGGGGCTGGCCTCAGACAGCCAGACAGACAGCTACAGAGATTGAGTGAGGGGGGGGAAACCATCCAACATTGTCCAAACATCCAAACCTTACCTGTTTTACTGGCCCCTTTCTGGATGCCAGCCGCCTGCTTGAGGAAGTAAGACACTTCAGGTCATACGTCCTGTCAGGCTGCAGTGAGAGGTTGGGGGGGGGAGAAAGAGAGGTAGGAGGGGAGAGAGCGGTAGTGGAAGAGAGAGAGGTAGCGGGCGAGAGAGTTAATTTTAGATGTGTTTTAATCCATCAATCAAGGTGTGATCAAAGTGGAGTGGACTCTGTAGGAAGTGGAAAGTTGCTCTCTGTTCTGCATTAACTTGTCAATGGAATTATCGATCATCCATGACCTCACAGTGAAATGACACCATTTGTCATCATCTATGAAATAGCCATTCGCTGGGATGGCCTAATGCTCCTGGCATCGATCTGGTGGACAATAGCAATATCCGAGAATTACTCTTGATTTAGGGATGCTAACTTTGTAAAATAGGAAGATTTGCTACTTCTCCTATCTTTTTGTTCAACAGGATGAGTCAGAGACAGGGAGAGAGAAATGAAGGAACAATGAACACAAGACTGATCGAGGCTGCAAGGTTCCAGCAGCACTGTGGCATGCCAGGGATAGACACACTTCCACTACACTAGCTAAACCAAGTCTGTCTGTGAGATCGCATTAGAGGTTGAAGCTCATCACATACATGCATATACACTACATGACCAAAAGTATGTGGACACCTGCTCGTTGAACATCTCATTCCAAAATCATGGCCATTAATATGGAGTTGGTCCCCCCTTTGCTACTATAACAGCCTCCACTCTTCTGGGAAGGCTTTCCACTAGAGCAGTGGAAACGCGTTCTCTGGTGTGATGAATCAAGCTTCACCATCTGGCAGTCCGACTGACAAATCTGGGTTTGGTGGATGCCAGGAGAACGCTACCTGCCCTAACGCATAGTGCCAACTGTAAGGTTTGGTGGAGGAGGAATAATGTTCTGGGTCTATTTTTCATGGTTCGGTCTAGGCTCTTAGTTCCAGTGAAGGGAAGTCTTAATGCTACAGCATACAATTACATTCTAGACGATTCTGTTCTTCCAACTTTGTGGCAACAGTTTGGGGAAGGCCCTTTCCTGTTTCAGCATGACAATGCCCCGTGCACAAAGCGAGGTCCATACAGAAATGGTTTGTCGAGATCGGTGTGGAAGAACTTGACTGGCATGCACAGAGCCCTGACCCCAACCCCATCGAACACCTTTGTGATGAATTGGAACGCCGACTGCAAGCCAGGCCTAATTGCCCAACATCAGTGTCCGACCTCACTAATGCTCGTGGCTGAATGGAAGCAAGTCCCCGCAGCCACCACCTCTGATTCAGAGGGGTTGGGTTAAATGCGGAAGACACATTTCAGTTGAATGCTTTCAGTTGTACAACTGACTAGGTATCCCCCTTTCCCTATACACAAAAGGACATTTGTGTAGTGAGGAGATGCTTGTAGTGACCAGCAGATGGAGCCCATGAGTAAGAGCGAGGCTGCAGGTGGGTTGGACATTGTTCTGAGCCTTTCTGTCAAAGTCAATGCCTATGGGGTTTACAAGACTTAATTTGTTCCCTCATTAGATATTCCACATATGCACTGACATCAATGCATGCATAATGTATAATTGGCTAGAGGACTTTGAAATGGGGAGCAGAAAAATGCTGCTCTATGAGAGATATGAAAAATTAATACATACGAAAATAAATCATAAAAGCCTCTTTACGATGGTTCTATCCTCTTTACGATGATTCTATCCTCTTTACGATGATTCTATCCTTTTATATGCGCTAAATTCTGTGAGACTTTTATGTCCCCCTGGACACTGCTAGCTTACTTCAGTGTAACAATATGAATAATGGAGGTTCTTGGGTAATGGTATGCAGACAGTGAAATCAGGCAGGATCTCTGAAAGGGCAAGCTGCTGGGGGGCAGGTGTGTGTACACTAAGTGAGGTTTTAAAAAAATAAACGCACCTTAACATGGATCTTGATGGGCAGAGGGATTCCTTCCTTGAGCTCTTTGGTCTTCTCGTTGAAGTCCTTGCAGAATTGGCCGATGGGGATGCCCTTCTGATGGAGATAGAAGGAGAGAAGACAGAGAGACAGGTGAAATGTTTTAAAATGTATGAGGAGTCTGGACCTGCAAACATCTATCCGAGTGTCACTCATAGTGGGTGCAGCTCGCTGCTGGAATACCAATAACTGCCGGGGCCTGTCAATCAATCACAGGGCTTTTCAGAGTGGGCTGAGTGTATATGCACGCATGGCCGCCCTGGGGAGTGAGAGCATCAGCAGGTGTGTGTGGTTGTGTGTGTCATTGTTTCTGTAGTGTGTGTGTGTGTGTGTGTGTGGGTGGTTGATTATGTCTGTTTGTGTACACAGCTGTGTGTGTGTGTCTGTGTTAAAGTGCACGTGTGTGTGTGTGTGTGTGTGTGTGTGTGTGTGTGTGTGTGTGTGTGTGTGTGTGTGTGTGTGTGTGTGTGTGTCAGGGTATGACAGAATGCATGTGCGTGGCCACTGCCTGAGATGAATGAGCCTGGCGTTCCCAGTGCCTGCCATGCCAACCAGAGCGGAAGCTAAATGGATGGGTGACATTAAGTCACTAGCCTACCTCCATACACACAGCACAATAAGCCATTTCTCAGAGTTGCATTGGGAGCCAATGACTAATCAGCAATCTAATTACCGCTGTTGAAATTTAAACTGACCTTCACCAGCCATCCTTCCCCTAAGGCAACACGCACACTTTGATTGAAATGTTCATTTCAGAATATGCGAAGAGCGAGAAACAGATTTTTGACCACAGTCTAAATGGTGCTATGAGCTGCTGTGCTGCCATGATGGACCGTGTTGAACACTGCCTGCAGTTCCTAATAATGTCACTAATGAAAAGCCATTCATCCAAGCAGACATTATTCAATGACAGGAGGATGAGGAGAACCTTTATTTGGGACTAACGGAGCAGAAAAGCTCTTTTAACATCATCTTCACTCTATGTGAGAAAAAACAACTAATGAATGTGACTCGATCCAGCCATCTATCTATCTTACTGCCTCTCTACTTGCCTCCATCACAGGAGGCTGCTGGGAGGAGGACGGCTTATAATAATGGTTGGAACAGAGCGAATAGAATGGCATCAAACACATGGAAACCATGTGTTGGATGTATTTGATCCATTCCACAGATTCCGTTCCAGCCATTACCACGAGCCCGTCCTCCCCAATTAAGGTGCCACCAACCTCCTGTGCTCTCCATGTATCTTTTCTCAGCTTTAAAAAAAAACTCAACCTGACTGAAGTTACAAATCACCGCTGTCATCACGACTCATATTGTTGAGTCGTGCAGATGAGGCCCATTTGAATTAGAAAACCTCACTAATGAAATGAAAAACCATAAAGTCCCTGGAGCCTATCCCCCCCTCTCCCCCTGCTGCTTATTAACAGTAATCCTATGTCAACCTCACTGCCGTCTACTGCCTTCCCTACCCTCCTCCCATAAAACAACAGAGCTCAACAAACAAATGGGGAGGAGGGGAGGACAGAGAGAAAATGTCTAATTAAATATGGATTAATATAAAGGCTGGGATGTTGGGAAGCGAGTCGAAACCAAACTTCTGTTCTCCCCCATCAGATAATGATCTGTCAGACTCTACGGCCAATGAACAATGACATGAAAAGCCACACAGACTAGCAGAGACTAGAGGAGATGGGTCTAATGCCGATATAAAGTGCTTAAGCACAGACAAAGGGACATGTATGCAGAGTCAGACAGACAAACGGACTGACAATTATGCTATAGATAGACAGAGAGGATGACATGAAAGGGCCACAGACCAGTGGAGATGCTGTCCCATGGTGTTAGAAACAGATTAAAAGAACATAGAGATAGAGATGCAGAGAGAGAGAGAGAGAGAGAGAGATGCACTTCTCCAATCTTTTTGGCCATATAACAAAGAACAAACAGCAAAAAATATATACATGATCAAATGCAAATCTTAGAATCAACTATTAAAGACTACCACAACCCACTGGATTCTCCAATTACATTGAATGAACTACAGGACAAAATATAAACCCTCTAACCCAAAAAGGCCTGTGGTGTTGATGGTATCCTCAATGAAATGATAAAATATACAGACCACAAATTCCAATTGGCTATACTTAAACTCTTTAACATCATGCTTAGCTCTGGCATCTTCCCCAATATTTGGAACCAAAGACTGATCACCCCAATCCACAAAAGTGGAGACAAATTTGACCCCAATAACTACCACGGGATATGCATTAACAGCAACCTTGGGAAAATCCTCTGCATTATCATTAACAGCAGACTAGTTCATTTCCTCAGTGAAAACAATGTACTGAGCAAATGTCAAATTGGCTTTTTACTAAATTACCTTACGACAGACCACGTATTCACCCTGCACACCCTAATTGACAAACAAACAAAAACAAAGGCAAAGACTTCTCATGCTTTGTTGATTTAAAAAAAGCTTTAGACTCAATTTGGCATGAGGGTCTGCTATACAAATTGATGGAAAGTGGGTTTGGGGGAAAAACATACGACATTATAAAATCCATGTACACAAACAACAGGTGTGCGGTTAAAATTGGCAAAAAACACACACTTTTCTTTCCACAGGGCCGTGGGGTGAGACAGGGATGCAGTTTAAGCCCCACCCTCTTCAACATATATATCAACGAATTGGCGAGGCCACTAGAACAGTCTACAGCACCCTGGTCTCACCCTACTAGAATCTGAAGTCAAATGTCTACTGTTTGCTGATGATCTGGTGCTTCTGTCACCAACCAAGGAGGGCCTACAGCAGCACCTAGATCTTCTGCACAGATTCTGCAGACCTGGGCCCTGACAGTAAATCTCAGTAAGACAAAAATAATAGTGTTCCAAAAAAGGTCCAGTTGCCAGGACCACAAATACAAATTCCATCTAGACACTGTTGCCCTAGAGTACACAAAAAACGATACATACCTCGGCCTAAACATCAGCGCCATACGTAACTTCCACAAAGCTGTGAACGATCTGAGAGACAAGGCAAGAAGGTCCTTCTATGCCATCAAAAGGAACATAAAATCGACATACCAATTAGGATCTGGCAAAAAATACTTGAATCAGTTATAGAACCCATTGCCCTTTATGGTTGTGAGGTCTGGGGTCTGCTCACCAACCAAGAATTCACAAAATGGGACAAACACCAAATTGAGACTCTGTATGCAAAATTCAACAAAAATATCCTCAGTGTACAACGAACAACACCAAATAATGCATGCAGAGCATAATTAGGCCGACACCCTCTAATTATCAAAATCCAGAAAAGATCTGTTAAATTCTATAACCACTTAAAAGGAAGCGATTCCCAAACCTTCCATAACAAAGCCATCACCTACAGAGAGATGAACTTGGAGAAGAGTCCCCTAAGTAAGCTGGTCCTGGGGCTCTGTTCACAAACACAAACAGACCCCACAGAGCCCCAGGACAACAACAACAACAACAACACAATTAGACCCAACCAAATCATGAGAAAACAAAAAGAGAATGAATTGACACATTGGAAAGAATGAACAAAAAAACAGAGCAAACTAGAATGCTATTTGGCCCCAAACAGAGAGTACACAGTGGCAGAATACCTGACCACTGTGACTGACCCAAACTTAAAGAAAGCTTTGACTATGTACAGATTCAGTGAGCATAGCCTTGCCATTGAGCAAGGCCGCCGTAGGCAGACCTGGCTCTCAAGAGAAGACAGGCTATGTGCACACTGCCCACAAAATGAGGTGGAAACTGAGCTGCACTTCCTAACCTCCTGCCAAATGTATGACCATATTAGAGACAAATATTTCCCTCAGATTACACAGATCCACAAAGAATTTGAAAACAAACCCAATTTTGATAAACTCCCTTATCTACTGGGTGAAAAACCACAGTGTGCCATCACAGCAGCAGGATTTGTGACCTGTTGCCACAAGAAAAGGGCAATCAGTGAAGAACAAACACCATTGTAAATACAACCCATATTTATATTTATTTATTTTCCCATTTGTACTTTAACTATTTGAACATTGTTACAACACTGTATATATAGACATAATATGATATTTGAAATGTCTTTATTATTTTGGAACTTCTGAGTGTAATGTTTACTGTTAATATTTATTGTTTATTTCACTTTTGTATACTATCTACTTCACTCGCTTTGGCAATGTTAAACATACGTTTCCCATGGCAATAAAGCCCTTAAATTGACATTGAAATTGAGAGAGAGAGAGAGAGAGAGAGAGAGAGAGAGATGCAGAGACAGAGAGAGAGAGAGAGAGAGATAGTGATGTAGAGAGAGAGCGAGAGAGAGATGCTGAGCGAGAGAGAGAGACGCAGAGAGAGAAAGAGATGCAGAGAGAAACTAGCAGAGAAAGATGCAGAGCGAGAGAGAGATAGAGAGATGCAGAGCGAGAGAGAGAGAGATGCAGAGTGAATAAGAGAGATGCAGAGCGAAAGAGAGATGCAGAGCGAGAGAGAGATGCAGAGCGAGAGAGAGATGCAGAGCGAGAGAGAGATGCAGAGCGAGAGAGAGATGCAGAGCGGAGAGAAGATGCAAGCGGAGAGAGATGCAGAGGAAAGAGAGAGATGCAGAGCGAAGAGAGAGATGCAGAGGAAAGAGAGCGAGAGAGAGAGATGCAGAGCGAAGAGAGAGCAGAGCGAGAGAGAGAGCAGAGGAGAAGAGATGAGAGAGCAGATGAGAGCGAGGAGAAGAGAGACAGAGCGAAGAGAGAGATGCAGAGAGAGATGCAGGGCGAAGAGAGAGATGCAGAGCGAGAGAGAGAGATGCAGAGAGAGATGCAGAGCGAGAGATGCAGAGCGAGAGAGAGATACGCAGAGAGAGACGCAGAGGAGGAGCAGAGCAGAGAAGATGCAGAGCGAGAGAGATGCAGAGCGAGAGGAGCGAGGAGAGCAGCGAGAGAGCAGAGAGCAGAGCAGAGAGAGCAGGAGAGAGCAGAGAGGAGAGAGCAGAGAGACGCAGAGAGAGAGAGAAGAGAGAGAGCGAGACAGAGAGAGAGAGAGAGAGAGAAGCAGAGAGAGAGAGAGAGACGCAGAGAGAGAGAGAGACACAGCGAGAGAGAGAGAAAGACGCAGAGAGAGAGAGAGAGACGCAGCGAGAGAGAGACGCAGCGAGAGAGAGAGGCAGCGAGAGAGAGAGAGATGCAGAGAGCTCTCTCTCTCTCTCTCTGTGTACAGACTCAGTGAGCATAACCTTGCTATTGAGAAAGGCCGCCGTAGGCAGACCTGGCTCTCAAGAGAAGACAGGCTATGTGCACACTGCCCACAAAATGAGGTGGAAACTGAGCTGCACTTCCTAACCTCCTGCCAAATGTATGACCATATTAGAGACACATATTTCCCTCAGATTACAGAGCCACAAAGAATTCGAAAACAAACCCAATTTTGATAAACTCCCTTATCTACTGGGTGAAAAACCACAGTGTGCCATCACAGCAGCAGGATTTGTGACCTGTTGCCACAAGAAAAGGGCAACCAGTGAAGAACAAACACCATTGTAAATACAACGCATATTTATGTTTATTTATTTTCCCATTTGTACTTTAACTATTTGCACATCATTACAACACTGTATATAGACATAATATGACATTTGAAATGTCTTTATTCTTTTGGAACTTCTGAGTGTAATGTTTACTGTTAATATTTATTGTTTATTTCACTTTTGTTTACTATCTACTTCACTTGCTTTGGCAATGTTAACATACGTTTCTCATGCCAATAAAGCCCTTAAATTGAATTGAAAATTGAGAGAGATGCAGAAAGAAAGCGAGAGCTGCAGAGAAAGAGAGCTGCAGAGAGAGAGAGCTGCAGAGAGAGAGCGAGAGATGCAGAGAGAGAGATGCAGAGAGAGAGAGAGCTGCAGAGAGAGAGAGAGATGCAGAGAGAGCTGCAGAAAGAGAGAGCTGCAGAGAGAGAGAGAGCGATGCAGAGAGAGGAGAGCGAGAGATGCAGAGATGCAGAGAGAGAGAGAGAGATGCAGAGAGAGAGCTGCAGAGAGAGAGAGAGAGATGCAGAGAGAGAGATGCAGAGAGAGAGAGAGAGATGCAGAGAGAGAGCGAGAGATGCAGAGAAGTGAACAGACAATGACATGCCAGACACAAAGAAAAAAACACAAACTATGTCAGGCAAACAGACGAGCAACCATCGTTTTAATTATGACATTACATGAGGGTCCAGTCATTGGGGTGTTTGAAGATGACAGGGAGAGCTAGTCTCCTTGTCACCCCGGCCCTATTTAATAGCCTAATTGAAGTCATTATTTGGATTGAGCCGTGTTGGTAATTGTAATGAGACTCTTTAAACTGGCAGTGGAGGCTGGCATGCCATGAAAGCAAGGTTAACTTGGCTCCCTGACTTCCCATGACATTTATAGCAGAGAGTGAAAGCGAGCGAGAGACGCTGAGCATTTGCACCCTGGCCAAATAGCCAACACGGGCCCTGCTCCACTCTCTCTCCATCTGAACATTCAATCATCCCACAGTCCGAGATGAGCGGCCGGCTCTTTCTCTCCTCCTGTAATTCCATGACTGATTAGATTCAAGAGCTCCAGAGTGCAAAATGGCTGCAGCCCATCACCCAAGGCGGGCCTACACATTCTTGAGTGGAGGGGATATTTAATTCCCTCATCTTCAAAGAGTTTCTCTGAGATCCTGTCTGTGCATCAGGATTAAGTGCTAATCTTTGGCGATATTTCAGCCGTCAAACTCCACAGCGACAGTAGTGAGTAATTGCTCCGATTTTTTCCCAGATCAGAGGGTTATTATAAATATTATAATTAATAGCGCAATTAGGCATATGCAATTAAAATATTGGAAGTGTCCGTCTGATTTGACCCTCACACCATATTCTCGCCACTCTTCTTGTCACTCCTCATGTTAATGTGATTGGCCTTTCAGCTTCACTAACTCTTTTTAACAAGATATAGCGAGCACTGACATGAGCGAGAGAGAGGGTAACTGTGAATGTGTATGGCCAGAGAATGAAAGAAGAGAGAGAAGGTGAAGAGGGAGAGATAGCCGGGAGGTAGATTTGAGTGTTCAGTGTGAACAGTGATCATCAGGATCAATATTTGAACAATGAAAAGGTTCATTTGACCAAGGTAAACAAAAGGAGAACACAGAAGTACAGCAGCACCACAGGAGATCTTTATGAATGTGTGTATGTGTATGTGTACACACACATACATTTGAGTCTGACAAGAATATCAGATGCAGAGAGAATATGGGAACACAATGTTTTCTTTCAGAAACAAAACGTTAACATGAAATGATACTGAGGAGTAAGGCTCTGCGGGGTGTGTGTGTTCCATCTCCCCTCTCTCTTTGTGTGGTCACAGGTGCCTTGAAATGATTTTTTAGGGGGTAGATCAGCTTTAATATTGCAGATAGATTGTGGGTTCTATCAATGTAATTGTCTGCATCATTTCCAATCCCCCATATATATATTTTTTTCAAATATATTTTCCTTTATTATTTTCCCCTAACCCTACCACCCCTCCCCTAATGGGAGTAAACTAATGGACAGCAATATTTAGGCTTCTACTTCCAGCTTATACACACTATATACATTTTACAGACACGATATATTTTACATTAGTTATCTTTTTTATTCGTTTTTAGTCCCACCCTTCAGCTACCCTCAACCCCTCCCATCTATCTCTGGATGTTTTGACTTCTAATTGCCATATATTGTTCAACTGTGCTGTAATGTTTCACAAAAGTTCTGAACCTTTCTATCATCAGTTTCTACAGATTGTAAATTAAAGATGAACAGTTTTACTAAAAATATTATTATATTATTGATCGATTGCCTATGGCTTTTCAAGTCACCCAGCAGTGCTATTTGCAGAGTTAGCTCCAGGTAAATGTTGCAATTCTTCAGCCATTCCTGAACCTGCGACCAAAAACAAGCTACATTTGGGCAGTATCAAAACAAGTGATCTAATGATTCGGTCTCTTCGCAGCAAAATCTGCAGCGCTGGGATGGTTGTATCCCCCATAACTTCAGACTTGTAATTTGTATTTTGTGTGTTTCTGAGTAACGATGTCAATAAAATTAGTGAAATTATCCCTGTCTTGACGTGAAAGTGAATACCTAATTCCTGTTGGTCTGACTGTCATGGTAGTAGTGTCTCAGTCAGGGTATGTTGTCAAATTGCTAGTTTCCATTTGGCTAGCAAATTCCCCCGTGAGAATCGAACCCACAACCCTGGCGTTGCAAACGCCATGCTCTACCAACTGAGCTACATCCCTGCCGGCCATTCCCTCCCCTACCCTCGACGACGCTGGGCCAATTGTCCCGGTCGCGGCCGGCTACGACAGAGCCTGGATTCGAACCGAGTGCCTTAGACCACTGCGCCACTCGGGAGTACAACTCTAGACCTGGCATTTTGTGTGGAAGCCCTACATAATAAAAAGTCACTAGTTTGGCCAATAACTGTTGGCGCAAGCCAGAGTAAGGCCTACAATCCTTTATTCTGGGAAGGGGTAATATGCAGTTACTAGGCTACATTTTTACTTTACCATTTGTTTCTTGAATATACAAATGTAAACAAGGTTGGTTTCACAAGCTGAAATAAAATCTGTTTTCTTTGTGCACATTAGTTTACATCCCTCTTTGTGAGCATTTTGCCTTTAAGAGAATCCATCCAGCTGACAGGTGTGGCATATCAAGAAGCTTATTAAACAGCATTATCATTACACCGGTGCTGGGGACAATTAAAGAACACTCAAATGTGCAGTTGTCATGCGACTTATCTCAAGTTGAGGTAGAGTGCAATTGGCATGCTGACTGCAGGAATGTCCGCCAGAGAATTTAATGTTAATTTCAGTACCATAAACTGCCTCCAACGTCGTTCTAGATAATTTGGCAGTACATCCAAATGGCCTCACCACCGCAGACCGCGTGTGGGCGAGCGGTTTGCTGATAACGTAGAGTGCCCCGCGGTGGGTGAATGGGCAGGCATAAGCTATGAACATAATTTTATTGCAGATCCCGTGACGAGTTCGACATATATAAAAATAACAGATTCATATCTGTATTCCCAGTCTGAATCAATTGCTCAGGGCCTGATGAATGTATTTCAATTGCCTGGCCTTACATGAAATCTTAAATTGGTGCGTTATATTTTCGTTCATTATAACTTAAATGCCCCATGAGCTTCAACTGTTGTACACCATCAATTTAAAATATGCTTGGTTTACTCGTTAGTAAATGTAAATTGCCTCAAAGGTTACCATTTTTTATCATTGTGGGTCCAATCTTTGCATGGCTCAGTCTATGAATTTGAGCGGTTATATTTTTCCAGCCCATTCCCTCAATTTAAGGAAACGGTTGCGGGGAAATGCTTTGTTTCAACTGCAGATAGTTCCTATTTATCTAGTGTATTGCCTCATTAAACTGACCCCAATGGAGTAGTATAAAATCATTATCAAATGTATGGGAGGGCTGTGAACATGCATAGTATTTATTAACACTTGATGGCACAATTGGTCCAGCGTCGTCCAAGGTAGGGGAGGGTTTGGCCGGCAGGGATGTGGGTTCGTTTCCCACTGGGGACCAGTATGACAAAAAACAAAACATGTACGCATTCACTAACTGTAAGTCGCTCTGGATAAGAGCGTCTGCTAAATGACAAATGTAAATGTATAAATAACATTCTATTGGTTCCAATAATTTGGTATAATAATTTAAATTGAAAAAATAAGTTTTTAATCCAGCGTCGTTTTGTGTATCATTTCATAAACCATGTGCCATGGAATCGGCACATCTAAAATCTCTTCCCAACTATTTAGCAACCTGTATGGTGCAGCTGCCAATTTTTTGGTCCTTAAATTAAACTGGTATACTTTTTTTATTTGGAGGCAAAAGATACGCACACCTATTTAGGCGAGGTGTTGGCTAGCGGAGTAGAACACTTGAAAAAGAAAACGAGAGCCGCACACTCTAGGAGCTCGGATGCAATAATTTAATAACCTAATAACCAATGTATTGACAAGCTTATACCCTGATGAAGACAGCTTGTCTGTCGAAATGTTGATTATTAGGTTATTCAATGATTGCATCTGAGCTCCTAGAGTGTGCGGCTCTCCTTTTCTTTTTCAAATACTTTTTATTTATTTATCATCATTTTCTTTAACCTCTACGGGATCGGTGTCCCGTATAGGGGATGGTTGAGCTAACGTATGCTAATGTGATTAGCATGACTGCTGTAAGTAACAGCAAACTTTCCATGACATAGACATGTCTTATATGGGCAGAAAGCTTAAATTCTTGTTAATCTAACTGCACTATCCAATTTACAGTAGCTATTACAGGGAACAATTACCATGCTATTGTTTGAGGAGAGTGCACAACAATAAAACATTTATCATCATGGCAACTGATGATACATTCCCCTCTGAAGGTAAATAATGTACTTACATTCAGTAATCTTGCTCTGATTTGTCATCCTAAGGGTCCCAGAGATAAAATGTAGCATAGTTTTGTTTGATAAAATCCATTTTTATATTCAAAAGTAGGAAGTGGGTTCTACAGTTTGATCCCCTGCTGTCTCTGGCTCCACACCCACCCCGCCCAGCCATCTAGATGTGTGAAAGTTAGTGTATAAGCTAATGTCCATCATGTATGACATTCCTGGGAGTGTGTAAACTTACATTTTATATTACCATATCATTTTTGTATGTTCTCTATAGTTATGTACTTGAAAATGTATCAATTGACCAATTCGGCACATTTGGGCAGACTTCATACAAAATAGTCCGGTATTGCAATGCTTGACTGGATCAATCTGAAACTTTGCACAGACACTGCTGCCATCTAGTTGCCAAAATCTAAATTGCGCCTAAACTGAAATATTATATTGCGGCCTTTCTCTTGCATTTCAAAGATGATGGAACAAAAACAATAATAGAAAACATGTTTTTTTGTTTGTATTATCTTTTACCAGATCTAATGTGTTATATTTTCCTACATTAATTTCACATTTCCACAAACCTCAAAGTGTTTCCTTTCAAATGGTATCAAGAATATGCATATCTTTGCTTCAGGTCCTGAGCTATAGGCAGTTAGATTTGGGTATGTCATTTTAGGCGAAAATTGAAAAAAAGGGTCCTATCCTTAAGAGGTTAACCAATTTTTGTATTTAATGTAGGGCCGACAGACAACTTCCCTACCTTCTCTCCCTTCCACTTGCCTCTTCCATTTTTGCGGTAATGCTGCAATCAGTTGGTTGACATTTTTTAGAGCAGACATTTCCATATATTTTTGTTAGCTGCATGTGTAACATAACTACCCCCCCAGTCCTATTTATGATATCATTAACAAAAGATTACACCGTTTTTAAACATTTTTTCAAAATAAAATATATTTTTAAAATAAATGAGTATATTTGAGTTTAACCATAATATTTGTTGTAATATTTGTTCTGTCTTTTCTGGTGGATTAAACTGAAATTGCAATCAGAATTCTATGGCTTGTTTTAAAAAATGGCGATATTCTGGAAATAATTTGCGACTCGTTTCAGGAAACTAGGCGTATGTCGCGCGTCACTACTTCACAGGAGAGGCATTTGAACGTAAACATTTATTTTTTATCAAAATGCATTTTGTCTTGGCAGAAATGCCTTCTGGAACATGAACTTTCATGTGCATTAATAACAAACTTGTATGCCATCTGTAAATACGAATACAATTGTGAAATTACGGGCCTAGTTGGTTAAGCACGGAAAAAGACAGGAACCTTCTCGCTAGCCATGATTGGCTGAGATAATGGATGGGATGGACATGCCGAGCGATGAGTTCACATTGGTCTGCCATGTAGCATGCTTCGGTCTATAGCTTGAGCTGCTCAGTATGTGTAGGTATTCCTTTCTAA